CTGTTTATTTTCTTTTTCCTCCAACTACTGCTGCAATTTCTCTTCCTGTTTATTTTCTTTTTCCTCCAACCACTGCTGTAATTTCTCTTCTCGTTCTTCTTGTTTCTTTTCTTTTTCCTCAAACAGCTGCTGTAATCTCTCTTCTTGTTTATTTTGTTGTTCGAGCTGCCATTGTTGCAGGTTTTCTTGCAAATGCTGTAATCTCTCTTCTTGTTTCTTTTCTTTTTCCTCTAACAACTGCTGTAATTTCTCTTGTTTATTTTGTTGTTCAAACTGCCACTGTTGCATGTTTTCTTGTAACTGCTGTTGTCTTTCTTCTTGTTTCTTTTCTTTTTCCTCTAACAACTGTTTTAATTTCTCTTCCCGTTCTTCTTGTTTCTTTTCTTTTTCTTCCAACAACTGTTGTAATCTCTTCTCTTCTTTTTTTTTTCTATCCCACTTCTGACACCAATTTGTTACGTCTCCGTTTGTTAATTGATTTTCCGTAACTTTGTTCCAACGAAACTTAAGCGACACAAGTCTTTACTTAATAAAACTGGTTTATTCTTTCCGAATATAACTTTACGATACACTTATTTCAATATTCGCGTTAAAACAAACACTATAACGAACGAACGTTAACTTCAACAATACCCTGTGACTGCAGTTCAATTACTCACTATCTATCTACCCAGACACGTTACATTCCCCTCTTTTATATATCCGCCTACCTTATATCTAGTAAGAACTAGAGCATTCACCAAAGTTCGTGATAGTTCTAGAAACGTTGCGTCACTGTAGTCATGTGACTCGCTGACGCAACAATATTAGTTAACATCATTTCTAACGTAGGCCTATAGCAATTTACGACATTGTACAAGTGTTCAAATTTGCAAAAATGATAAGAAGGAAATAAAGTAATTTACTATTGTTACGAGGACTGAACTTGAGTTATTTTCAAGGTCATAAAGGTTCCTCTCTTTTCTTTCTTCTCTGCTTACAACAAGATGGATTTGGAAATAAGCTGGCTAACTGAATATTTTACTTTCTCTTATAGTCCCAGAATCCCTAGGGTTTCACTTTCCAACATAGCAGCCCATACTAACCCCATTGCTGTTACCTCTATATAATCGTTGCATCAAACGTTGTGTATATATAGTGGGATGGCTATATTTCTGTGGTATTAAATTAACATGTTGTGAGAGAAATATAAATATATGGTATTAAATTCACACCTAACTGCGTTTTTTTTTGTACGTGATGTTTTAAAAATTTGTACATGTGCTTGAATTTGCTGAAATGACAACGAAGGAAATTACTCTGATTTGTAAATGCACCTAAGTGATTTACCTTCGTGAAAGCGAGTTAATTGCCTAACCAATACATGTATTTTATCTGAAACTTAGTGAATATGAACTTGTGAAAGTAGAAACTAATTTTATAACTTTTCGACGCCTTAGTCGATTACAGTTGTGCTTCATGAGCATCAGTATTGTCACGAATTCTACATGTAATAGTAAAACTGTTATATTTAATTTCTTCTTCATTATATCCCTTCTACTGAAACATTAAACACATCTCTAAGAGTGGCGCAAAAAAAAAACGATTGGTTTTATATATTTTACTTTTGATCAACATCTCTCTTTAACTGAGATCCTCTCTATACTGTCTGTACTATTCTGGCTACATGTACAAAGGTACACTTTGCACATTTTTATAAGAACGGTGTGTTAGATATCCCGTGATGACCTTGTAACAACGTTCTCTCTCGTTGATGGTACTCATTCTGATTGCCACAATTACGATATAGCGGTATCCGTTATAACGAACTACTGGTAAGGATGGCGAAGTCATTCTTACATCTTTACAAACTTTCCACGGGTCCTTCAATGCATGTACGTGAATGTTGGCTTCCAAAACCACATTTAAGCAAACCAAAGGCTAAAAAATCTATTGACGCTGCTTCGGGAGTATTTTATAGATGTATGTGGTCAAGTGATATACCCAGCTTCATTGCCATGGCATCTTGAGGACGTCGCTGCAGTGTCGCTTTTCTCCTCTCTCAGTCGTCGCTATATTCCTTTATGAGAAATGGGGGGGCAAATTTGAAATTGGAGTTAAAAGTCCACTAATCTGCTCCACAGTGGCTCAGTGGTAAGTCTGCAGGCTCAATGTGATAAAGATCTGATTTCAATACCCATGGCAAAGCATAGATAGCCCATTGTTTAGCTTTGTGCTACAACCACACTAGTCTGTCACATTTTGGTTTCAATTCTAATATTTATGAAGCACTCCTTAATTTATATAGCATCAGTGCCGTGAGATCAGGAACAAACATACTGTTACGTCTCCGTTTGTTAATTAACTTTCCGTAACTTCGTTCCGATGAAACTTTAGCGACACAAGTCCTTACTTAATAAAACTGATTTATTCTTTCCGAATATAACTT